AGGGTGCTGGATGAGGAGAGCAGGTGCTGGATGAGGAGAGCAGGTGCTGGATGGATGGAGAGCAGGTGCTGGATGGATGGAGAGCAGGGTGCTGGATGGTGAGCAGGTGCTGGATGGATGGAGAGCAGGGTGCTGGATGGAGAGCAGGGTGCTGGATGGATGGAAAGCAGGGTGCTGGATGGATGGAGAGCAGGGTGCTGGATGGAGCAGGGTGGCCACAGGAGCAGGGCAGGGATTGTCCCCTGTGCTGGGCACACCTCGAGTGCTGTGTGCAGTTCTGAGCCCTCCCTACAGGAAGGACGTTTTGAGGGGCTGGAGTGTGGCCAGAGGGGGGAATGGGGCTGGAGCAGCAGGAGTGGCTGAGGGAGCTGCGGTTCAGTCTGGAGAAGAGCAGGCTCAGAGGGGCCCTGACTGCTCCCCACAGCTCCTGGCAGGAGGCTGCAGCCATGTCCCCGTCTGCTCTGCCATGTCCCGAGGGAAAGAGGAGATGCCTCAAGCTGCACCAGGGGGGTGCAGGTTATGTGTTAGAAACAATTGTTTCCCTACATGAGTGCAGTGAGTTTCCTGGGGAGGTGGTGGGGTCACCCTCTCTGGCTGTGGCTCCTGGGGCTGTGGCTCAGGGGTGATCGTGGTGCCGCTGGGGTGATGGGATGATCCCGGGGGTCTCTTCCAACCTCCGTGTCCCATGACTTCAGGATCACCGCTGCTCACTGGAAGCTCAGAACCAGGTGCAGACTGCTTTTAAGTGCAGGGCTTTTTGCAGAGAGCCTTAAGCCAGCAGCAGGGGGCTGAGGCTGTGTTTGCTTTCAGAGGAGCTGAGGCACAGCATGCCCAACCTGGCCCGCAGCAGCCTCCGCACGCTCGAGGCCGTGCGCAGCAGCCGCAGCCTGGAGTCCGACCTGCAGGTGCCCGGCAGCCGCATTCCCAGGACTCAGCAGCGGTCAGCAGGTCAGTGCCACTCCTCCCACACTCCTCCATCCCCTTCTCTCTTTAGCCAGCCCTCAGAGGTGCTCTGCTGTCCCTGCAGGTCTGACTCCCAGCAAGCTCAGGTATTCCTCGGGGCCCGCGCAGTCCCCGCTCACGGCGCGCCAGCCCGGCAAGGCGGCCTCGGGAGCCGGCTCCCTGCTGCCCGGCAGGCAGGTGGGGAAGCCCTGCGGCTACACGGCTCCCGTGCCCCCGGCCCGCAAGCCCCAGCTGCACACCGGCTCTCCCAGCAGCAGTTGCACTTCCAGAAGCAGCGCCATGGTGACCGTGGGCAAAGGCTCTGCCCTGAAAGCGCGGCCGGCCGTGGCAGGGGTGGCCGTGGCCAAGGGAAAGGCAACGGCCCCGTCCAGGAGGTGAGTGGGGCTTCAAACCTGGCCACTGCAGGAGCTGCGTGCAGCAGCAGGGTGAGAGCAGAGCACAGGGAATGCTGTCACAACACTCAGTTTTTGTTCTTGTGGCTGGTTTTTTAACAGCTGCTGCACTACAGTTCAGACTTTCCTGATTGAGGGAAATTAAGTTGATTCAGATTTGTTATGATATGACTGATACCAGACTAATAAGCAACCAGTGCTTGATGATCTTTAATCTCCCGTTGGAGCCATACATTGAAATGCATCTACTTACTTTAAAAACATGAAAAAGGGAATTTCTGATCTCCTAATTTATATCAGTGCTCTACTTACCTGATTATTTTTCATGTCTTGAGTTATGTTTGCATGGAAAAATATTTCTCTTAAACCCAGTCATGGGCTGAAGTCCCAACATTGTTACTTTGGCAGGTATCAGTGTTTAAGCATCCTGTAACAGCCACTGAATTTCCTTAAAGTGCCTCAAATCGGTGTTGCTGGTGTGACAGCAGCTCTTCAGCCATGGCAGGGAGATGTAGCTAACCCAAACGTGTGTGCACTGCAGGGCTTTGCCTGGAGCTGTCCCTGAGGTGCTGTTCTGTCCCCCCAGGTTCCTCCAGGCAGCACAGACCCCCGAGGACGACTCCTGGAAGGATGGGTGCTACTGACTCCCCAGAAGAGCTTTGTGGAGCAGATCCCAGCTGGCTGGGCATGACCTCCCTGGGAAAGGCCCTGCGCCCCTGTCCCTGCAGACTGCTGTACATACCCCTCACTCCGTGCTCTCCACACCTCCCTCTGCTCTGCCAGGAGCCAGGGACACACAGCTCCCGGCCTTCACCGAACCCTGAGTCTTCCCAGGAAGACTGGAAAAGCCTTATTTCATCCGCAGCCCAGCTGCAGCCCTGGGGAAGGTGTGTCACCATCCCCTCCCAGGGGTGCTGCAGAGCTGGGGGTGTCCTCTCTGTGCCAGAAGCAGCTCTGAGCTGTGGCAGAGCTCGTGGAGAGTAGAAATAGTGACATAGGTGTTAGAGGTGAGACTTTCTAAACCCAACCTGATGTACTCTAATATTTGTCTGGAATTCAACTGGGTTTGGTTTTTTTGGTTTTTGGTTTTTTTACTTCTGTATAGAATGTATTTCTGCTACTTTTTATTGTTTGGTCTAGAGCTGCAGCAGGTTTTTATAACTGTAGAACACTCTGAGCTGTTGTATCCAGGTGTCAGCACAGGTCACGAGGAGCAGTACACAATATTTGTGTGGGGTGTGAACAGGCAGGGACGGGGATGCCAGTTAAAAACTGCTGGGCACCAGCACCTTCTTAACCTCAGCTGAGTGAGTTCAACACACTTACGAGTAAACTTTTTAAAAATCACCTTCCCTCACACTTTGTCTTGAAGTGTTGGAGCTCTCAGCTGCTTCCCAACTGCCCTGACTTTTGTAGAAGTTTTCTACCGTCTCTTAAGGATTCTGTTCCAGTGTCCTTTTCCTCAGCAAGTGCTGGATGCTACAAATACAGTCTTAGTCCAGGAAATATGCACTGATAGCAATGTTCTCCCTGCCATCAATGTGACTTTGATAGTGTAGTTTAATAAAATGTTATGGTGCTGAAATAGATCTGCTTTATTCCCACAGTGAGTTTTGGGGGCCTCTCCCGACAGAAAAAAGCTCTGCAAGGATAAGCAGGGCTCCAATAAAGTCTGGTAGGATGCAAGGAGTGAGACTCACCTTTAATTCCTCGGAGGTCAGAAGGACAAGGTGGGTGTTTGGAGGTCAGAAATCCCCAGCAGTCAGTGTGTGTCTGAAACATCCACCCGTGGCCAAAGCCAGGAAGCAGCACGGGGGCAGTTCCTGCACTGCAGAGATCTCTTGTGAGCCAGGGACAGAGGAAGAGAGCTGGCCCTGCAGTGAGGGGCCCAGGAGTGTTCCTGGGCCAGGGCTGGCACCAGCAGCACCCACAGGACAGGGAAGGGGCCCAGGGGGCTCAGCTGGAGCTGCTGCTCCGTCCCTGGCTGACACCCCCTCCCCAGAGGGACACGACTGAGTTCAGAAGCTTCTCCCACCCTGATGGAGCCCAGTGAGGTCCCAGCACTGCCCTGTTGAGGCTCTCCCCTGGTGCAGAACTTTCTTTTCTGAGCCCTCTCCCTGCTGGCACAGCTGGACCCTCTCACCCTGCTCTTCCCAGGACGCTGAAAGGTGAAAGAGCAGCAACATCTGAGTTCTGTGTTACTGGAAGCTTCTCCACTTGTCTTTTCCTGTATTCCAAAGGGGATTTTCCAGGCTCTGCCTTTCTCTGCCCACCTGAGTCAAGAGCTGCTGCTCTTTCATGGGTTATTTAACAGTAGGTAAAGAACACAAACTGCCTGAAAGAGTCAGATGTGAGCGAGTTGGAGGCTACATCCCAGTTAAAGCCTCTGGGGCAGCTGGGGTTGTTTCTGTGGTTTTCCAGGCCGAGCAGAGCAGCAGGAAGGTGCCGAGGTTGGATTCTGCTGGGATTCCCAGGCGTTTCCAGTACAAACCTGATGCTGGCAGGCACTTGGGAGAGGCTGTTCCCCCTCAGCAAGGAGCACAGCACAGCTCTGTCAGAACCAAAACACTCAGCAGCTGTTAATTTAATTTTATCCTTTCATTTTTCTGGGCTGTTCTCACACCAAGTGATCTCCCTTCAGCTCCCAATGTTCTCCATCATCCCAAACCCTGGCTGATACTATTAAACTGCAGCTTTGCCTCAAACTGAGATAACAACTCCAACAGTTCCTGCAAGTCCAAGAGGAAATCCAACTCTCATCCTGAAGCATAAGTCTGTTTCCAAAACCTCCCTCTGCACACAGCATTCCCAAGGTAGGTTTTCCACAAAACTACGGAACTCTGCTTTTCTGTACAGGAATTTTATTGAAATCAAGGTAATGGTTTTTTATACTAATGCCTCAGTGCATCCTCGAGAAGGAAAAGGATTTTCTTTAAAAATTATTTGTACATAAGACAAGAAATCATCCAAATGAACATGGTAACAGCACAATCCCTAAAACATGCACAGCTGGACCTGGGGCTGCAGGAGCTGCAGGGAGGGGGCTCCAAGCTTTACATTCGGAACAGAAAGAAGCGGCTGCCAGTGCCCACTGGCACTTGGTGGAGATCAAATCCAATCACCCTCGGTGAAACTTCAGCCCAGCAGAAGACAAATCCAAAGGAGTCACTGTTACTAGGGGAACTCTTTACCTGGCCCTGCTGGGGAGCTCCATGGCCAGTGCCACACGGGAAGGAGCAGCAGAGCCACGTCCCCACCCCGCCAGTGTCACCTCCTGGTACCAACTTCGTGCTCCGGCTCAGGCACCAAAAGAAGCCTCCCCTTCCCCCCCTGAAGGGTGTTTCCATTTTTTCCCTGGGAAAGGAGCCCATCAGCTCCAGGACAGAAGTGTCCCCAGCCCTCGCCCATGCCCCAGCAGCTGCAGCTCCTCAGCCAGGCCTGGCCTGGGATGGAGATGTGCAGCTAGCACAGAAACGGCGCCCCTGAGCCTGCATTTGGTTACCAGCCTCGGGTTTGGTCTGAAATCCTCCCAGAGGAGAAGGTTTATCCTCTGGCAGAGCCTTTCTCCTTCAGACCTTGGAGAAAGTCACTGGCCACCAACTCCAGCCCTCCTCTGCCCTCCAGTTGCAGTGCACACCTTCCAGGAGAAGCACAAGCAGCAGCTCCCTGACACCTCAGCAAGCCAGACTGGCCCCAAATTCACCGTAGCCAGTGCCAGAATTCTATTCATTGCAGTCCACCCTCCAAAGAAGAGCAGGAGAAATCATCTGTGAGAAAGCAGGTTCTGAACCGTGTGCGACCATCCCCTCTGCTGTGTCTGTTCAGCCCAGGGGGAGATGAGGGAGAAGTGAGGATGAAGAGGCAGCCATTGCACACGCTGAGGTGACCCCACACCCCCTCCTGCCTGCAGGGTCACTGCAGCAACAGGGAGATGTCCCCAGCAGCAGCAGCACCTCCACCTGTGAGTGCACAAAGCCCAGCCCCACTTGTTCCTACCTGGGTGACACCGTGACCTCCCCGTGCTGCAGCACTGGGAGCCACCAGATGTGGCCAGATGTGCAGGAGAAGCTCTGTGGGACCCCAAACTCACCTGTCCCCGTTAGTTTGGCTCAGCCCACCCTGAACCTCCTCTGTGGGGCAGCTCCATCCCAGGTGGGACAGCTGCAGCCACTCCTGTCCCCACCCAGGGGAGGCCACACGGGGCCAGCGTGCACAGAACCCTCCGGAGGGGTGGCATTGGGACAGCAAAAGGAACACAAAAATCCTTTCAAGTAATTAACCCAGCCCACTCTTGGGGTCACAGCTGCGGGACCAGCTGGGTCTGTCTGGGTGATAAGGCAAACAGTCTGAAGTCCTGGAGGGATGGGAGGTGGAAGGTGGCAGTGGTGACGGGCAGGAGTCACTCTGGAGGTTCCTTCTCCACACTCTGCCTCATCTCCTGGTGAGCAGCTCCAGCTCCAGTTACTTCTGCACACAGCTGGGCCAGGCCAGCCCGCCACACACGGCCGACAGGATGATGTACAGGATCACCTGGGGAGGGAAAACGGGAATGCCACAGGGAATTAGGGATTCCCTGGAAACCCCACATGGTCAAAGCCTTGAAGAACCTGGGTAACACCCTCCTGTCCCTCCACACCCCTGCTGCTGAGACCTGTCCCCATGGAGGTGACAAAGTGCTTCCCACCCTGACCCTGCAGCTGCTCCACCCGCAGTCCTGAGAGATCAAAACCAAAAAAAGCAACTTCAGAGTCTCAGAACGAGATCCACCAGGACTAAAACGCCACCCCAGCTCCAGCAGGGCACCTCAGCTGCTGCTGGGGCAAGCAGGGGCAGCTCCTGGACATGGTGCTCCTGCCTCCTCTCAGAGGGTCACAAAGGTTGGAAAAGACCTGCACGAGCATTGAGTCCATCAAATCCCCCCACGTCCACTAAACCATCCACAAAGTGCCACATCCACCCCTCTCCTGAACACCTCCACGGTGACCCCAGCACTGCCCTGGCCATCATCTCTCTGTCAGGGAAGGGACTTTTCCTAAAATATCCAACCTGAGCCCATTTCCCCATCTCATCACAACCTCCTGTAGAGCCACAAGGTCCCCCCCGAGCCTCCTCTTCTCCAGGCTGAGCAGCTCTGACTGTCCAGGCCCTTCACCCTCTCCTCACACCAGGAGACGCAGTGCCCTCCAGGCAGAGCTGGGCACACACAGATCCCAGGACAGCCACGGGGGGTTGGGGTTTCCAGGGCTTTCCAGCAGCTCCAGGCTCCACACTTACAATGGACACGATGATGATGACGATGGTGAGCTTGAGGTTCTTCATACACATGGCTCGGGCAAGGTTCCTGCTGGTGGTTTTGAAAGTGACTGACTGCAAGAGAGAACAAGGAAAATCCCAGGATGGGTTGGGTTGGAAGGGACCCAAAGCTCATCCAGTGCCACCCCTGCCATGGCAGGGACACCTTCCACTGTCCCAGGCTGCTCCAGCCTGGCCTTGGGCACTGCCAGGGACCCAGGGGCAGCCACAGCTGTTTTGGAAAGCTTGTGCTTGTCCCATCGCTCTTACCCTGCAATTCCACACATTCAAAATAGTGTTGGGCACCAAATGCCCCCAGACACCCCCAGGCCGGGTCAGCACAGCCATTCCCACTGCCATGGCCCACACAGCTCAGGCAGGATGTCCCTGCCCCTGGAAGCAGCCATTCCAACAGCTCATCCCAGCTGTGCCAGCTTTTCCTACAAATCACCCTCCAGGAGGCTGCAGCAGGCAGGAGCCACATCCCTGGGAGCTGCAGCTCTGCCTCGGAGCCCATCCCGAGGTGGGGAACGCCAGCCCTGGATCTCCAGGGATGCTCCCTCATGGGACATTCCCTCTGAAGGATATTCCATCCCTTCATTTCCTCGTGCTTTCCAAAAGCCAGCACTCCCTGGGACAGGTCCTGCATGAGCTGCTGAAGGAATTCCAGTCCCTTTCCCTAAATTTTTACCTGAGCTTTCACCACCTGAGGACAGGTTTGAACACCTGGGAGCTCCAGGTCAAGCTCCATCCCTGCTGGATCAGCTCCAGGCATCTCTGCTGCCCCTGCAAAGCAGGAGGGCTTTGGGCCAGCTCAGGGATGTTTGGATCCCCCCACAGGAGCTCCTGGCACTGCCCCAGCCCGAGGATTGGATGCCACAGGAGCTGGGCACCAAGCCAGGATGCTGCAGAGGAGGATGCTGAGCCAGGGCCAGGGATTCCCAAAGGAAAGACAAAAAGCTTCCAGAGTGCACAGCACTTTGCTAGATAACTGTGCTTTATAATTACATTATTTGGGGTTTTTTTAAGTCTTCACTTCCTCAGAAACACTCCAAGAAGCTCCAGAGTCTTCAAGGATTATTTAGATGCAACAACTCAGCTTTTTTTTTTAATTTTAAATCAGCCACACTTTCCCTGCTGGTATCAGAACAACTCCACAGATGCACATTTTCCAGTTTGTTTGCATCCAGCTGCCTTCAGCCCAGGCTGCCAGGGAAGTGTAAATTGTGATTTTTGTCTCTCCCATCACTGCAGATAACGAGAGGGTTTTCCCCACCTTGGGCACGAGGGATGAGGTCAGGGATGTGTCACCCCTGGCTGGTTTGGCACAGGGAGCAGGGGGAAGCTGGACCTTTCCCAACCTGGGATGCAGCTGGGAAACAGCCTGAAGGAGGGGGAAGGATTCCCTGCAGGTCTCGGTGCTTCTGTGTCCCTTTAGGTGTCTCCAGGTGCTGCTCCCACCTCGCTGCTCCCTGGTGCAGTAACCCAGGGATTTCCCCAGACTCACCGAATCCACGAGATTCTCTGTTTTATCAATCAGCAGCTCCAGCTTCTCTCCTCTTTGTGCCACAAGGTCTGGAGAAAGAGACAAAAATCCAGCTCTGAAGGTGAAATCCCAGGGCAAAAAGCAGCTCCCAACACCCAACCCCAGGCCAGGAGCTCCTGGCTGCAGCTTCCAGCCCTCCTGGGAGGAGCAGGAACTTAGGGAACAGCCTCACATCACCCAGGCTGCATTTTGGGACTGAATTCTGATCAATCCCAGATCTCACCCTCTACCTGGAATGGTCAGACCCAAACCCAAAAGAAAAGCAGCTGCAGAGAGCATTTCCCAAGGGAAGCAGTACCTATGTTCCGGACCATGATCCCTTTGAGTTCATCAATCTGGGCTTGTGTCTCCGCCACCTGGTCTGGGCCCTTGCTCTCTGAGTGGTATTTCTGCAACAGAGAACAGGCAGGGAAAACAGGAGCCTCAAAAACCAGGATCCAGGGAAAACAGGAGCCTCAAAAACCAGGATCCAGGGAAAACAGGAGCATCAAAAACCAGGATCCAGGGAAAACAGGAGCCTCAAAAACCAGGATCCAGGGAAAACAGGAGCCTCAAGAAGCCACCAGTTTGGGAATGCCACAGCAGATGTTGAAGGTGGCCAGTTTGAGGGGCCTGACTGCTCTCCCCAAAGGAATGGAGCAGGCAGAAGCCATCCCATGTCCTGGAGCCATCCCATGTCCTGGAGCCATCCCAGAGGATCTCCCCTGTCACCTCCTGGGTGCAGCTGTGCCCTGACAGCTTTGCTGCTGCCAGCCCCTCTGGTGTGTCACCATTCCTGTCATCCCTCCCGCTCCCTTCCCTTCCCAAGTGCCAGGGATTTGTCTCAGCCTGTTCCCCCAGTCTGGGATCCCAGGGATCCTCTGGTGACGGCACAGGAGCTGCAGCTCAGGAGCTCGGGGTGGCTGAGAGCAGCACGAGCCAGCACAGCTCACAGGAGCCTGAGGGTCTGCAGAGCCCAGGGCCCAGCCAGCACCAGGGAATTGAGCTCTGCCACTCCTGCATGGATTTTAACTCACTGCTCTGCCCCGTGATCACACAGATCCCCAGGAGGTTTCAGACTGGCCACTGTCCACCCTGGGCACTGGTTTTCACTGGTTTCACTGGAAGCACAGCCTCCCTCTCCAGGGTTATCCGAGTGCTGCACTGGAGCTGGGGCTGGGTCTCTGCCTCACACAGGAACCTCCTGGAGAACCCTCCAGGGAATGTCAGCACTCACATCCCACAGGATCAGGGGAGGGAAGGGCTCTGTCAGCACTGAACTCCCCTCAGCTGGGCCCTGGATCCCTGCAATGTGGGAAAGCTCGGACAGGCAGCTCTTCCTGTGCTGAGGGAGATGGAAAGGCTGGGATTTTAGAGGAATATCAGCCCCAAGGCTCCAAAGACAGCCTGGCTTTTCTGATAAGGCAATTCCAGCTTATTCCAGCCCTGAACAGCTTATAAAGTGATGAGTCAGCACTTTGGGTGGTTTCAGTCCCCACATATCAAAGCCTGGAGAGGAAAGGCTCCCTCCTCACACACCAGGAGTTAATCCCATTCATTACCCACTGCACTGTTATTCCTGGCTCTCCCCCTGCTGTGCAAGCCAAGGAGCAGCTCCTGGAATGAACTCCCCTGACTCCCTGCTCCAAACCACCTGCACAGCCCCAGATTCCAGAGCAAACTTCGGGCAGGAGGAGCTCAGGTGCAAATCCTCCCTCAGAGCCCTGGCCTCACCCTGCACCCACCCCACAAGTGGTACAGCTGGGACTGCTCCACAATTCCCACACTGGGGAGAGTTTTGCTGTCCCCACAAAGGGCTCCTCCTCCTGCAGCTGTGACACCCCCAGACCTGGCCCCTTCCAAAGAGCCAAGCCCTCCCTGCAGAACAGCCCCAGCAGTGATGCCTTAAGTCTTGGCTTTCATATTTTCCAGGCACTGCATTGGTTCGTAACTCTGAACTTCAGATAAAGCGTCAGCCAGTTCTCCTCACAGCCCAGGCAGACACAACAATCCTTTTCCAGCCCCAGAACCAAGGACATCGCTGCAGCTTCAGCCCCAAAATGTGTGAACAGCAGGGAACTGAGGAGAGCAATCTGGGAGGATGGGACTGCATCACCTGGAGCTGGAATTGTACAATTAACCCCAATATGGAAATGGACCAAAATCTATAAAGGTGTGAAAACTCCTGACTCACAGTCCATCTTGGGTGGAACCATGACCAGGCTCTTGCACTGCCCAAGGTGCATCCTTTGAAGGGATTTTAATAAATCCCCACTTTATTCCTCTAACTCTGTCCAGCCTCTGCCCCAGGAGCCTCTTCAGGCACCCTGGGGACAGCCCTAAAGCCACCATTCACAGGACACCTTGTCTAACCCGAGGGACACCTCAAAGCTGAGGAGGATTCCAGGGGGAGCTGGCAGGGCTGGGCTGGGCTGGGCTGGGCTGGGAAGGGATGG